GAAAGGCTTTTCTATTAATCCCACATATCCAAGAGATTTACCCTGAAAAAATGAATTAACATGAGATTTGGTATAAACATCATGTTCAAATATGTTGCTCATACTTTAATAATATTATGATACTGCTCATACTTACAGCCATACCGATGTTCCTCCTAATGTGTTTTTGGATTCTCATACATTTGCTTCTCTGCATCCCAGCAGTACTGACTATGCCCTGTTTAAGGTCAACTTGGTAAAAAGAACCACAGTGAATTTAGCCCTAATTAAACTGCTACATAATTAGTCACAATCCAGATTCACAATTTAAATTCAAAGCTACATTATGTATTCATTGTGGCCTTCTGGGTTGTGATGCCATGGGATCACCTGCATGATCATATGACATTCCAGAAGATGACTATCAACATTTTCACTGCCATGAGAACCTCAAATCTCAGCTCTACACTGTCTTTAAAGAAAGTTAAAAACACATCACAGATTTATATAATTTTTAATTTTATCTGCATGAAAGATCACATTTTTCCAAAACTCTTTATCTACACACAGAGAACACACACAGTAGCAAATATATATTTACAATTTATTAAAAAATACCAGTAACATGTCATCACTCTCAAAATGGAAAACACGACTTTGGTCACTTTATTTTTTACTACAGCTTTCCCCTTTTAAAAGACATTTTTGGTCCCTATATATAATTTAATTGTTATTACCCTCCACAACTAACATTTTCTTGCATATAAGGACAAATTATAAGTACCTTCACCATTATTTTCTATCAGTATTATGTTTTCTATCAAAACTGGTGTGGAAGTCTGTTAAAATCCAATGGGAAATAATTTTTTGTAGTGGTTGTAAATGTGACATTAACAAACTTTGCCTGAAGGACATTTATAAAATACATCTCATGACTTTGTATGTACAGCTTTGTTGTTCTGATACACTGTTATTAATTTCTCATTACAGCTATATCAATTCTATTTTATAACAGTACATTAAACTACTCATTTATGGTATTTGTGCAACTTGAACAACAACCAACAAAAGAAAGACAAATAAAAATGTTATTGTCTCTGGTTTTCGTTCAGGGTGCTTATTATCATTTTTTTTCTTGTGTTATGATCATTTGGACTCTCTCATGAAATGATTGGTTGCTTGTTCAAAACATAATGATGTTGATAGCTCTTCCTCCATTACATTAGGACTCACAAACGTTGTCATCTGGCTTAGTTTGTCTTTCTAGATTTATACTACAGACTGGATAACTGCCAAATAATATTCTGATTAAAAATACACCAATTTTTGGGGCAGCTAAAGGTGCCAGAAATGTACTTCAATTTTCGAGACAAAGATTTCAGGGAAAAAAGGTTAGTACAGTATTTGAATAAACAACAAATTCACATTTTACAAGTTCCTAGAACAAATCAAATATGACTATTATATAAGAAGACAACTTAAAATGCCCATAAAAAATTCCAGATTTTGATATCACAATACAACTGTATTTGATAGTTAACATGAATGCCAGTTATCAACTACTCTACACTGTCTTTAAAGAAAGTTAAAAACACATCACAGATTTATATAATTTTTAATTTTATCTGCATGAAAGATCACATTTTTCCAAAACTCTTTATCTACACACAGAGAACACACACAGTAGCAAATATATATTTACAATTTATTAAAAAATACCAGTAACATGTCATCACTCTCAAAATGGAAAACACGACTTTGGTCACTTTATTTTTTACTACAGCTTTCCCCTTTTAAAAGACATTTTTGGTCCCTATATATAATTTAATTGTTATTACCCTCCACAACTAACATTTTCTTGCATATAAGGACAAATTATAAGTACCTTCACCATTATTTTCTATCAGTATTATGTTTTCTATCAAAACTGGTGTGGAAGTCTGTTAAAATCCAATGGGAAATAATTTTTTGTAGTGGTTGTAAATGTGACATTAACAAACTTTGCCTGAAGGACATTTATAAAATACATCTCATGACTTTGTATGTACAGCTTTGTTGTTCTGATACACTGTTATTAATTTCTCATTACAGCTATATCAATTCTATTTTATAACAGTACATTAAACTACTCATTTATGGTATTTGTGCAACTTGAACAACAACCAACAAAAGAAAGACAAATAAAAATGTTATTGTCTCTGGTTTTCGTTCAGGGTGCTTATTATCATTTTTTTTCTTGTGTTATGATCATTTGGACTCTCTCATGAAATGATTGGTTGCTTGTTCAAAACATAATGATGTTGATAGCTCTTCCTCCATTACATTAGGACTCACAAACGTTGTCATCTGGCTTAGTTTGTCTTTCTAGATTTATACTACAGACTGGATAACTGCCAAATAATATTCTGATTAAAAATACACCAATTTTTGGGGCAGCTAAAGGTGCCAGAAATGTACTTCAATTTTCGAGACAAAGATTTCAGGGAAAAAAGGTTAGTACAGTATTTGAATAAACAACAAATTCACATTTTACAAGTTCCTAGAACAAATCAAATATGACTATTATATAAGAAGACAACTTAAAATGCCCATAAAAAATTCCAGATTTTGATATCACAATACAACTGTATTTGATAGTTAACATGAATGCCAGTTATCAACTATATTAACAGTATAGAAACATTCAGTTTACTGCAATATCTCATAACAGTGATTCACCGTTTGTAAGTTGAAGTTAAAGAGATACATACAGTAACCTCTGTTTCAGTATATTTCACTTACTTGACTAGAGGTTCCATCTTCATTCATGTCCTGAATTCACTCTACCCATTTCTCTCAGAATCTTAGCAAATTATCACAAAGGAAAGTATTCCAAATTATACAATACAATGTCCCTGAATTTTCTTAATACTATTAGTGTACAGTTAAAACTATAAATTAGCTAGTCATTATGTGTTATTCTGATGAAAGTAATAAAACAGCACCAATCAGAGTATACTTCTTATTTTTTAATCCTATCTGCTCCAAATATTCTTTTAACTGAATCTGTACTCAGTATTAAGTGATGATACCATAAAAACATCGTTATTAATACAACACAGTGTATAAAATGTTATACTCTTTCAGTACCAGTCTACAAGCAAAATATAAACAATATAATTCTTTTCTTAATTTGCAAACATTAAGATAAAATTATTACTCTGGTATGTGTACGTTAGGTATGAAACACTCATTTTCCTGTCCCTGTGGCTCTGTTTGTCACCTCTGCTACCTGAGGTTAGTTTTCTGCAGCTATCCAAAACAGTGAATGTCAGTTAAAGGAGATTTAACCGAGAAACTTGAGCAGTTTTTCTGAAACTGTTGATCTAATTCATCTTGGTACTATAGGGTAAAAACAGTTCTAAATCTTATTTGCTATGAAAAAAAACCTTATCAAAATAGTGATTGTTTCTAGTATTTTACATAATGTTAAACATATTAAGCTTTGGAGTATATTCACTGGAAGACTATTGTGAGCTGTGCACATACATGGTAAGTTGTAGGAATTCAGCTGTCTGGTCTTGTCGTTAGATTGACAGAGTCCTATGTTGAGGAAGGTTCCCATTTTTGGTGACTAGGATGAATTAAGACTATATCTTCCTCTGAGCCTGAATCTTCATCATCATCATAGTATGGTTGTGCTACTGTGCTAGAACCTACCATCATAGCAATTATTAATTACATGTAAAAATACAAGCTCATTATTGTTTAGTCAGTACTGAGATAAATCAACTTATTTAGAGATCTCATCCATATACTTATAGGCAATGAAAATTCATTTTCTACATTCGTAACACCTTATTGAGTAAAGTAAAGTTTGTCCCGCAACGTGCCATACAGGCGCTTGGGGTGAGTGGAGGTGTAGCTCCTCTCTTTCTTCTCTGTCAGCAGAATTAAATACTGAAGAAAGCATACAAATAAAAATTCATGCCACAGGCACATTTTGAAATCCTGGCCCCGGTGGTTGACAGCTTTACAATCTTATAGTTTTCAGAGATTAAAGTCAACTTCTGTACAAGTAATTTTAAAAATTAAAGAGACAGAAAAGACAAAGGGTTACTTTTAATCCCTTTTGACTTCTATTCAATGTGCTCCCCAACATCTAAGGCACATGCCATTCACCTGGTACTGTAGAAAACTGAACATCAGCAGAGGATGAAATGCTGTTTGCCAATATTACCATTTCATTAGTTCAGCTAATATGACTACCCACTGGCAAAGACAGTACCTCATCACATGTTCCATATAAGATTGTTTCAGCAACAAGGCAGAAAAACATCCGAAGACCACTGACATTAATCCCACATGAGGATTCTTTGGGTTAGGGAGTGAGTCAGGGAGAATCAGCAAGAGTATAATAAGACACTAACTTCAAAAACTCATTTGTCAGATGTTATTTGAAACACTAACATTTTACAGATATAAATATTTACCTGTAAGTGGTGTATTGAAGGAGTCTGCTACATCTTTGTAGTCACCTTCAAGGAGCAATTTCTGTGGAAGAGGAGAGAAGTAATAATCTCTCCTGTCTCTCTTTGCTCGCTTTTGACACACCGTATAGAAGCATATCCCAAGTACGACTAATGCCATGCATACAGTGCCTGTAGAATATAAACATGGCTACAATGAACAGTCTGAAGACAAATGTCCTACACACTACAGAAAAGACAAACAATGATTTAGTTACAAACTGCAACATAATAATACAAACACTGCAGTGGTACACACATTAATCATAAAGACAAACAAAAGGCATCAATTAAATTCAATGCAATCTTAACCTCAGCAATAGATGGAGGTGAGTTTTAGTTTCCTGTTGCTGCAAACGTTAATCCTAGAGAAAGGTCAATGATTAAGCCTACACATTAAACAGGAGATCAAGCAGGCCTTTCGAGTCATTTTGACAATGGTATTAAAGAACAACTAATGATCTTATCAGAAACTGTACCCCAACCTTGTAATTCAACTTACAGTTATCACAGGTCCTCATTAATATTAATTTTTATTGTCCATGACATTTAAAACAAACAGTACCAACTCCTAAGTCAAGTGCTGCAACATAACTCTTTTCTGTATTAAGTTGCCATCTGTCTTTTGTTATGGAACTAATTTTTCAGTTACATTGGATAGCAGGCACACATTATGAAGTGAGAAATTATTATTTAATAACTTTTATTCAATTTGTGATTAATAAATAAAGGCACCACGTTTCTACTGCAAATCTTACAATAATGTCTGTGGACATATGCAAATATAACTGAAGGGCAGTAATAAGTAGTACAAAAATGGTCGTTTTAGCAAACATGGCAGTTATTTCTTTATTCCTTACTCACCGGCTAGCATAATAAACACCATCCTTGGCAATCCCATGACTGTCTCATCTCTATAAAGTCTAAACATGATAGGAGCTGAATCCTTGTCAGTGACGTGCACAAGCTTGGTGGTTGGAAGGTACCCACGAGCAGATACAGTGACAGTGTGATCACCTGGTGGTAGCAGCCTCCAGTATGCTCCACTTGCAGTAACATTCACTACATGAGTACTGCCCTCCACATGCACATCTGCTACTGATATTGGCCGATTCTCACCATCAATCGCGTAACCTGTGACATTAACGTTTTTAAATTTTTGCCCAAATGTAAAATAAAGGTCATATCATATATAGGAAAGAAGCAGTATGATATAATAGGTAGGTATATGGCATATTGAAAAGTGACATCCAGTGGAGAGAAAACCTCATGTTTCTGTAACCTACACAGTTAACACAACACTGAAACTAACCAAACAAATAAACAAACTGTCACTACAAACCTATTTCAGCTACTCATCAAAATACTGATTTTTCAATCAAATCTCAAACTTCCTACTAGTTCCTATCATGCCATAAACTGTTCATTAGGCAAGATCTGAAAATAAAAATACTATAAGAGAAGTTGATAAAATTAAGTACACAACAATACAATTCTCCCCCGAATAAAATATTAAGACAATTGATGTTCTCATGGCGGGGGAAATATCAATGTGCATCTTTAGGGCTGCAATGAAGACAGAGGCAGGATGTTCCTCTGACACACTGATATCTATTTACAAGTCCACATAGGCCAACACTGATGAAAAATGAAGTTAAATAAATAACCACTGGCAAAACCAAGGACTGGGTAGAGAGACCAAATGATGAAAGGTATATATATAGAAGAAGAACACTTATGGAAGAAGAGGAAAAAGCAGCGAAGTCTTTATCATAAGATGTCACGTTTGTGAAAACATCCATGGACAAGACCAAAGATGGTAATTGTACACATTATGCAGGCATGTTCTTCTTTCTACATCTTCTTATCATGGATAACTGACTGATGCTATGATCACAATTACAAGGAATACGATTCTGACCGTCGTTTCTCTGAACTGTTGGTATTTACCTACATGGCCATATAGCGTTACTACCCAGAAAATGAACTTCATTCTCAAGCACTATAATTTATATCTTTAACAAAAAACCCACTAAACACCTGAAAATTATGAAAAATGTATATTTTGTCATCATAATGTGTTTTCCGTCTCATTTTTCACATCCTATATGACAGATATTAAGGTCTAAACAGATCCAATGGAGACCTTATTTTGACAGGGTCACAAAATCTCCCTAAACAGTGTATGTAAAGTACCTGTAATCCCCTTGGTTACTGCATCCATCATTGCTAACAAACTTTCCTTATGTTCATTCCAGAGTGTTGGCAGACGTGACTTCTCTGGAGACCCACAGCAATCCACAAACACATCCAACTGGAATGTGCTGGTGTTCACGTAGCTGTAATCCTGCATGATACAAGTTAAGCAGTAGGAACCAGAGAATTTTACAAGTATAACAATTAAGAAGATAATAATGTTTATGATAACAGTAACAATAGTATCATATAACTCCAGCTCAGATACTTGAAAATATGGATTTCTCTCTTTATGGGATACAGCTATAACAACTGACAAAATTATTGTTTATATCAGTTAAATAAGACTGGTGAACAATGCTATATAATAGCAGTAAAAGTGTCATTAAAATAAAACTTGAATGAACAGAGACAGAAGTCACAGAAGTATATCTCTATACAAATAAAACAATCCTGTACAAGTTGAAGTAATATCAGCATCATCAGTTAGAGGTGTTGCCCCAATCAGTATTAGAATAAACATAGTTACTCTGGATTTACACAAGAACCTCATCTACGAAATACAAACAGATGTATTTATCCAGATATGCCACTTTGTAGGAACAGTTTCTACTTACACAAATTTAGAGTCTTAGCAGTTTTACAGAGAAATTAAATTTTAAATAAAATAATAACTGCTCTGTAGGGTTGCAAACATAAAAAAAATAGTAATAGAAGTTTTTGTACCACCAGTGACTGAAACAATAAACAAGCAGTTCCAGTAAAAACTTACTCATCACAGATGAGCAAACATGTAACATGACCGGCTTCAACTTACAATCATGCTTCCATTTCGATCCCTCCAGCTTCCTGCATTTATGACACCATTTTCAAAGACATCTCGTGAGTCGCTTGTACAATTAGGATGGCCATCCCCCATTGTTGGATGATGTGAGACATAATACTTGCCAAGATTACGATATATCTGCAGAACAAACAGCATTATGAGATTTGCTAAACATGCACTTTGAGAAGTAAAGATGAGGTAATGTAATGCAAAAGTTTTAATATGGAAATTTATTAAAGTTTCTGACATTTAATAATTAAGTCAGACTGCATAAATATTTAGTGGAAACATTAGAGTTAGCAGAAAAATATAACTGATTGTAAAAATTCCACAAACCAAAAAGTCTGACACTCTATAGTCAGGGCACCTGATGACGGAGGCAGTATGACCTCTGAAACGTTGGTTAACATCGACCAGACTACACAGCGCAAGAACCCAGAAGACAGAAATCTTCATACTCACTGCTGTGAAAACCTCAAATCTTACAAAAAAGTATCGTTTTCCATACATATTCAGTGTCAAGCAATGATCTCATGCTGACTGTTTTACACAATGACATTTGCCAACTTCACAGATTATACAGGTTAAATAACAAGATGATCATGAATTGGGAAAAATAAGGAAGGAATTGGCAATGGCCTATGTCAAGGTACTATCCCAGCATTTACACAAAGGAAAACCAAGAATTCGTCACTCAAGACAGCTGGTATCTGAAGTAAGATCCAAACTGGTTGCCCCTCTGAATTTGAGGCAGGAGGGCAAATCTACATTGTGATATTCAGTCATTCAAGATTAGGAACAGCAAAAAGTTTAATCTTTAAAATTTCTCTACTGAAAATAATAGTGCAGTGTGTGACCTCTTCATCTGATGTAGCGTATCTGTTGCCTTCTTTGGAACCTCTGCCACCAGCATATGGAATGTCTACATGAAGTGATCCAGCACGAAGAGCCACAGTGAGGACTGGTACTGTCTTCTGCAGAAGATCCATCAGAGCTTGTGTTTCAGGTTGAGGTAGCTGTTTTTTATTAGCTATAACACCAATGACTCACAACAGTGATGAACTAAGACCATTTTCAAATAAAACAAAACAGCACAAATATGCAGTGCACTTGATTCAATTTTAATATTCAGTTTTGTCATAATGATGATGGGTCTTGGGTTTCATAACAAGAAAGTCTTTATGCAGTTTAATAAGAGACTGCTCAGAAAATTATTTAACGAGGATATCAGTCAGTTAATTGAATAGTATGAACTGATGCAATAAAATATAAAATAAGTAAACAAACAACTATTAACACTATAAAAAGACACTATTGCCATACGCGTTTCAACCTCAAGAGGTCATCATCAGTGGCATCATGGAAATTAATTCATTTAATCAAATGGTTTAAACTGGATTTAGAAATAAATAAGTTTTAAGTTTTATGATGCAATAACTTTCATATCCCTTTAACCTTCATTTCGTTAAAGAAACTGACATACCTTCTGAAGGAAAATCAGTGTCAAGATTCACTCCATTTCCATTGACACCACTAATGGAGCTGGAATTGCAGTCTTCTGGAAACTTCTGTTTCTCTGTGGAAGCTAAATGATCAGGATTTGCATCAAGTACAATATGTACCGACAAGGTCTAGAACAAAAAATATACAGAACAAATATTCTAGTAAATATACTTTCATATTACATAAATATATCCTTTCCTCAAAATGTCATCTTTTGTGAAAGAAATGTATGTATTACACAAACAGTATGAAAGCATGAGCCATATACATGGGTCAAAATCAAAAGAAAACTACTATTTTGATTTCAAAGAAATTACCATGATAAATTTCTTGCTCCAAAATAAACAAAAAACACCTAGTTTTCAAAATTGTATAACAGCACATACATAGAGCAAGATCAAATTTTTGGTTGGCTAAGTGGATCTTCAATCATTTCACACCTTCTCATACAAAAGTTTGAGTAAAGCTATTCCATCTTATATTCCAAAAATTGAAAATCTCATTTTGAGTCCCTTGAAGAAATTCATAACAATGTGACAGGAAGTTTGGAAAGTAACTTCCAGACATGGGAGAGATATTAAAATGTGTGAAGAAGTCAGAAGGCAGGTCTGGAAACTTAAATTTCCTTCAGACAGTGCTTTCTATTCAAACATTGAAAAATAATTTTAAATATGTCAATATACATGCATGAGCACATCTACCAATTAGGCAAACATAAGAAAAAACAATTCAGGATTCAAGCCAACAATTTTTAAAATACAGAGAATTAGAAAATACATTTTTAACAGAATGCTAAGCACTCATTAAAAAAAATTACAAATGTAACAAATTCACAGTTGCTCTGTGTCAAACCAATGTGAAGTGATGATGTATAAACTGAGGCAATGATACAAAGTTACACACATTCTAAAATTCAGCATTATATGGAGATGAATAGTCAGCTTTACGCTTGGCCCACTTTACTCTATATATTCTATCTGACTGATACAGTCCCAGACATATCATATCCATAGTAGTATTAACATACCTCCAGAAGCTTGGTGATCCTATTATCATTCTTATAACTGGATAAAAGATGGTGCACAAGATTCAACAAAATTTCTGTGGTGACTGGTTCATTACCATGAAGATTACCAACATAGACAATTGCTGGATAACCTCTAATGGTACTATCTCGTGTTTGTAACCCAAGCTCCAGCACTTGTATGTCCTTGCTGTTAACACTTGAACCAATGCTAGAACACAGAAACAACTGAGCTAGTAAATAAAATATATGTATTTTCAAGACTAACATATAATATAAAAAGTTGGTTTAATACTTAATAGACAATAGGATGGTAAGGTTTGAGGTTCTCACAGTGGCAAGTATGAAGACAACAGTGTTCTCAGATGCTGTACCATATAATCTGGTGGATACTGACAGACATAAGAGAGGAGCTTACTGCCTTCATCATAAGTGTGAAACCCACAATGATGTAGGCAAAATATATATATATATAAATAGCAGTAGTAGTAGTATTACAAAAAAGGAGCTAATGTTTAGTCACGCGAGACTAAAATCTGCCCAGTTCTGCAAATGACTGCAAATAATGTCTCACTTGTAATAACATTCCATACTGAATGGTTAATAAGAACAATGAAAAGTACACATACATGTTATGAAGAGACAACATGAGGAAGGAATACCATCTTGTACTACAAATGTCAAGTTATGCCTAAGTAGAAAAGATAACAATTAACTGCTAATGCTGACTGAAAAATCTAGTATCCTGTAATATTTTATTATATATTTTATTTAGGAGCTATTGGCTTGCTTTGTTCGCCAACCCTGTTGGGGGCTTCCCATCCTTCCCTATTTTCGCTAATTTCCCACGTTTCTCGTCTAGCTTTACCTTCCCTTTAATTTCCCCATTCTACCTACCCTTCATTAACCCAAAGAGTATAACACAATCATTATCATGAGTATATATTAAGTGTTATTTTATTTTTATTTCATAATCTGAGTACCATAATTTTTTTGTCAGATGTTGGTTTAAATTTTTCACATAAATGTGTACATTTTACTTTTATATCTACAAAAATATTAGTGATATAAATTTTTCATTGCCTCTTGCACAGGGTAAGAGAGATATTTAAATGCCAAGAGCTCAATGTGCTAGTAAGACAGTGATGTTGACATTGGCATCAGTAATTAGATATGTTATCTTCATCAGTGTTTGTAAAATGCAGGAAACATTATTCTTTATACAAATAAATCTTTGCCTGCCACTTAAACTCAATAACAGAGAAAATATTTTACCTGTACAGTCTTGAGATACCAGGATAATTTGAGTTGAGGTGCTTCAGGTGTTTCTGAATCTGAATGTAGGTGTGATATCCATCTCCCTGTCCTTCTGTTCGATCCAGTATCACTTTCACATCATTCAACTGATTTTTCAGTACTCTTACAGATACAGTCTTAGGCAAGTGCTCTGGGCATGATACCTGCGACAAAATTACATTTTTTACAATTCTTCTAGTTGTCGTTTTGTTTTTACCTTCTGCCAAACTGACAATGGTGAAAGAATCCACTTCTTAAGTGTTGAACCCATCCAGTAGAATTCCATTAATCCCCACAGACAGCTAACTAAATCCACACAGCAGAATTATCCTTCAGAAGCTAATACTCAGTCAGTCAAGAAATTCCCCACCTTTCATGAAACCTTAAGGTTCATTACGGAGTCCACAAAGCCCACCCTATCTTCAGTCAGATGAATCCAATTCACACCTCCAACCCTATTTCCTTTAGATCCATTTTAATATTATTCTCTCATCCACACCTAGATCTGAGCTTATTCCAAGTTTCAGTAGATGAAAAAATATTTGGTGTCCAACCTTTGTTTCTTGTGTAGTTTTTCTGCGTATATCATGCTTTATACACTGTTATTTTAAGGAGATAAATACAGATATATCTGACCTCAAGTTTATAATCACCAGGCGGAAGCATGGCTTTGAAGAAGGCAGCATTCTTTGTCAGTCGCAAAGGTTTCTCAGTAGTATTACAAAAAAGGAGCTAATGTTTAGTCACGCGAGACTAAAATCTGCCCAGTTCTGCAAATGACTGCAAATAATGTCTCACTTGTAATAACATTCCATACTGAATGGTTAATAAGAACAATGAAAAGTACACATACATGTTATGAAGAGACAACATGAGGAAGGAATACCATCTTGTACTACAAATGTCAAGTTATGCCTAAGTAGAAAAGATAACAATTAACTGCTAATGCTGACTGAAAAATCTAGTATCCTGTAATATTTTATTATATATTTTATTTAGGAGCTATTGGCTTGCTTTGTTCGCCAACCCTGTTGGGGGCTTCCCATCCTTCCCTATTTTCGCTAATTTCCCACGTTTCTCGTCTAGCTTTACCTTCCCTTTAATTTCCCCATTCTACCTACCCTTCATTAACCCAAAGAGTATAACACAATCATTATCATGAGTATATATTAAGTGTTATTTTATTTTTATTTCATAATCTGAGTACCATAATTTTTTTGTCAGATGTTGGTTTAAATTTTTCACATAAATGTGTACATTTTACTTTTATATCTACAAAAATATTAGTGATATAAATTTTTCATTGCCTCTTGCACAGGGTAAGAGAGATATTTAAATGCCAAGAGCTCAATGTGCTAGTAAGACAGTGATGTTGACATTGGCATCAGTAATTAGATATGTTATCTTCATCAGTGTTTGTAAAATGCAGGAAACATTATTCTTTATACAAATAAATCTTTGCCTGCCACTTAAACTCAATAACAGAGAAAATATTTTACCTGTACAGTCTTGAGATACCAGGATAATTTGAGTTGAGGTGCTTCAGGTGTTTCTGAATCTGAATGTAGGTGTGATATCCATCTCCCTGTCCTTCTGTTCGATCCAGTATCACTTTCACATCATTCAACTGATTTTTCAGTACTCTTACAGATACAGTCTTAGGCAAGTGCTCTGGGCATGATACCTGCGACAAAATTACATTTTTTACAATTCTTCTAGTTGTCGTTTTGTTTTTACCTTCTGCCAAACTGACAATGGTGAAAGAATCCACTTCTTAAGTGTTGAACCCATCCAGTAGAATTCCATTAATCCCCACAGACAGCTAACTAAATCCACACAGCAGAATTATCCTTCAGAAGCTAATACTCAGTCAGTCAAGAAATTCCCCACCTTTCATGAAACCTTAAGGTTCATTACGGAGTCCACAAAGCCCACCCTATCTTCAGTCAGATGAATCCAATTCACACCTCCAACCCTATTTCCTTTAGATCCATTTTAATATTATTCTCTCATCCACACCTAGATCTGAGCTTATTCCAAGTTTCAGTAGATGAAAAAATATTTGGTGTCCAACCTTTGTTTCTTGTGTAGTTTTTCTGCGTATATCATGCTTTATACACTGTTATTTTAAGGAGATAAATACAGATATATCTGACCTCAAGTTTATAATCACCAGGCGGAAGCATGGCTTTGAAGAAGGCAGCATTCTTTGTCAGTCGCAAAGGTTTCTCTAAGCCCTTTATCCATACAACAGCATCTCGAAGAGGTTCTCTGTTTATATCTTCCACATAGCCTCGAATACCTGCAAAATATCATGGGCAATCAATGCGAGCCTTGCTTACATGCTATGAATATTCAATATGAAAATTAAGTATGGTATTATTCCTTATACAGTACAGATGTAAGATGGTTAGTTATTTGCTTATATGCTGTATTAATAATCATTTGTCTTACTAAATTTTTCCAAATATGGAGCCAAAAAGTATATTATTTTAGTTCATTTTTGTTATATTTGAACATTAAGTAACATAGGTAAGTGACTTTTTAAACTTTTATAACATGAGAAATCCTTCTGCATATAAACAGCTTCACTATCATTCTGTGTCCAATGTAAGTATTCAAATATTCTATATTTCTAGCCTGAAGATGGAGGGAAAAAGTTCCAAAATGTTAAAAAATTGTGACCAGGGGACATAACCTGAGCCACGTGTCTTGTAAAACTTTTTTAATAATGAGAGAATATAAAAATAATGTATTACCTTGTTGGACAGCTGCCAAAAATTCAATAAACGAATTAAGGTTTTCTCTCCAAAGAGATGCCAAGTCACTTGCAGGTGCATATTTACAACAACTGACATGAGCTGTCACCTGAAAAAAAAAAGAAAAAAAAAAGGTTAGTTTCCCTGACTTGGGATTTTCTGTTGAACAACCTAAGAATATATACATTTTGAAAAGGTTGTACCTATCTATGTTTCATCTCTGAAACTAATGAATGCTATCCTATATAAATTTTAATATTTGGTGGTCTACAATAAAATATTTTGGGCAAATGTAATTTAGGTTCATACTGGTTCAACTTTACATGAAGATCAAGTTAAATTTAATGATTTTTAATAAGTGGTACATGACATGAAAGAAGATCTCATTATCATCTATACCTTTCACCTGAAACATTTTACGATATGGTGAATATTAAAGTGCAGAGCTTGTGTTGATTGCCTGCCTAACTAGTATAACCATGACAATAGGAAATTCATGATACTGCTGATGAAGAGGCATAAAATATTTCCAAAATTTCTGTTATCCAGCCTTTTCAATAATAGCAACTTATACCACTAGTGAAGATGGGAGTACATGATGCTTGAGTGTCAGTAATATTGTACACATACAGTCATGTAAATGTTATCATTCCATCATCTGATGATTATATAAACCTGACTGTACACAAGACAACTTCCTCCTGCATTATTTCATGAGTTTAATAACACACATTCTTCAAAAACCTTTAGTTAATTTAACAATTTTATTTGATTAAAAAACTGATAAATAAAACAGGTATGTTTAAACACACAAGATTCTCTAAATGTAATCCTACTAACTGCATTTAACCTTCCTACTAAGTTCCTCTAAGACAACAAATAAAACAGAAGAAAGACGTCCACCTACAATGGAAAAATAAATCAATTTACCAACAACTCACCATTGGAACACCATACTGCTGATATGCTAAAGTCATTACTTTATTGTCCACAATTTCTATGCTATCTTCACTTCCTGGTGTGGTTAATTGTTGTTTGCATGAATTACTCTGCTGGAACTGTTTGAGAGAAAAAATTAAAATCATACCATTTTAAAGATACTATAAATAGATACCATAAATAACAAAGTGAAGAAACGGTTTTATCGTTTACTTTCAGTATGTAAGAAACAAACATGAGTCTTCCTAAAATCATGCAAAAGATCAAACAAATTACACCATGGGTGAACGGTTATAGGTAAATTGATATGGTTTGTGACAATAGTTCTGTAATCACAAAATGGATTAGTATAGTCTTATGTATATATGACAAAAGTAAAATATGTGGTGCAAGTTAAAACTTCTGTTATTTTTAAGCATGTTTCACTGATATTTAAAAATATCATAAAAACTGCAATATACATAAGTGTGCATGCACACTTTAAATACAGTCTGCCCATAAAATAATGGTGGGGTAACAAACAGTCATAGTTTTGGAACAAAGCACGATAGAGACATGAAATAAATGTCAAAATAAAGAGAAACTCTCCTAGAATCTTACCTGTTCAGTAGATTTCAATATGCGCTCCTTTAGTTGCCCTGCAGACATCAAGACGATATTCAAGCTTTTCCCATACACAACCGAGAATTCAGGTGTTACATAAAATTTATCCACAGGGCAAAATTAAACCATTCGAATTTGCTACAGATAGATCATGATGGGGAATTTTTAGACAAGTTTATGTTCAGTGAGGAGGCTACGTTTCATGTTTCGGGATGAGTCCATCGGCATAATGTTAGAATATGGGGTAATGAACCTCCATATGTCATTATGGAACATCAACGTGATAGCCCAAAAGTTAATGTGTG